GGAATCGCCCCCTCACCCAGCAGCACCTGGTGAACACCAGGGCTTTTCTTTAAAGTACCAGGAGCTGGGGTGGGTAGGGGCAACCATGGGGGGGCTTGGGGAGTGGGCAGGGGTCGGGAGGCCTGCAGGGCTCCCCCCATGGTCCACTCCCTCAGCCCCTCTCCCCCGCCTCTAGTACGTATCAGGTCAGAGCTGGCTGCAGCTCCCTACTACAGCCACCGGGGACTGCCCAAATCATCAAACTTCTCCAAATCTTTTCTGAAGAGAGTTTTGAATTGATTCAGACCTTTAAAATGACGTCTTGATTCGATTTGGGTTTGGAGATTCGGCCACTGAATCGCGCCGAATCTCCTTTGAATCGAATCATCACCCGAAGCTTCGCACAGCCCTACAACGTAGCCCATCCGTACTTTAGACCTCTCCTCCTTGCATTGACAAGAATTAAGACTGTTTTGGGGCCAGATTGTGAGTCTCTGACATTAGGGAGTAGTTTCTAGCAAACTTGATCTTGCTGACAAGAATTGTTCACCAGTATATGTATAAAGCTTCACAGTTTGGCCTATAATTATTAGAGCTCCAGAAGGAAGCCTCTTCTCTGCCTTTATTCATGCTGACTAGTGCTTTACTCTAAAATCCTTTCCTTTGATTTCACTGCAGAAGGCAGCTATTGTAGGCTATAGCCTACTTCATCAGATGCTATGAATGGACTTGGAGAAAGCAGGGGTTCTAAATAGAAGAGAATTTAAATACAAAAGATTTAAATTTGATTTCACTACAACTACTTGCAGGGCAAGATGCTACCTGTCCTCAGGGAGGTGGGCTAAATTTGGCATAGACTAATAAGTGAACATGTTCCACAATGCTTTTTTGCAAAGTGTACTTACTGTTCGCTGGGCATCCATCACCATGTACAAAGCGAACTGGTTGCCATCTGCTTTGTCACGATTATATTTTCTGAGGGCTATATCCACAGCTTCAAAGACTTCAGGATGGTCACAGTCAACATCCTCAGCGGGAAGTGGTTTGGCTGTGCTCGAGAAACAACTGCAGCAGAGTACTAGCACAATGAAGAATTTCATATCTGAGCAGGATGTCCCCTTGAAACTTGGGGGACTCTTTCAAAAGATGAACACAATGGAATCCCCCGGTAGAGATTTAATAACCTCTTCCTCTATTTATCAGAAGCATTTAGGTAAGTAATCTATGTGGGTGGACTGAGGCTGTTTGATTTCCATAATACCCTATTTACACTGCAAATAGCCCTTTAGGTTTATCCAAACAAACTTTGTGTAGTCACCAGAATGACTCTAAGGTTGTCCACCTGCCATCATGATAATAGGATAAGCCTGGGCAGCTGGTGTAACAAGGTCAGCATCAACAGCATGAGCCCTTGAGCACACAGAAAGCTTTAGAAACCTTGGTAGGCCTCTAGGTCCTGGTTAATTTTTGACATCTGAATGCCTACTCTGAATGAATCATAACAGGATCCTAAAGAGAAACACCGTGGCAAGGACAGAAGTTACACATAAACCACTTTAAATGATCAGAAACTGATTTAAACCTGTAACAGAAACATAAAACAGTTTCAAAATGGCTGAAACTGGTTTAAGATAAACCTGGTTGAATGTAGTATCATACTTAACTGATTTAGATCAACCCATTTTCTGAAACTTTTGTCCCAGACCCCTTCCTACTTCACATTAAATCAGAGTCCCCTGGCATCTCATCATTTTGCAGCCATGGGCTGGCTGGGCTGTCTGCTCCAGAGAGCGGGGATGGCTCCACCCCTCTGCTCCCTAGATGGAGCAGCAAGGGCTGGCTCATTTGCTCCCTCCCCCGGCAAAGCTCTTCTGGTGTCTAGGCCCAGGGAGGGGGGTTAAATTTCCCTTCCCCCACGCATGGAGAGTCCCTGCTCTGCTTACTTAGTGCTGGCTGTGACTGTGGACTACAAATCCCAGAGGCACCTGGAAGCAGAAAGAAGTGATGAGCAACCCTGCAGAGTCCTGCTGTTGTGAATCTGGGCTGCAAATCCCAGAGACCTTGGGAGGAGCAGGAAGAGGGAGCAAACACACAGCCTATACTAGCTACATGCCAGAGAGCCATGCTCTTGTGCCTCCTGGCCTCTGGCTTGAGCCACTGCAGGTATGTGGCTACATTGCCTGAATCAAAAGTGAATGTCTGTTTATTTGCTTATTGATTTAATCTTTGCAGCTTAGACTAACCTGCAAAGACTGACTCAATTCAGCCTCAGGCTTTTTGACTGTCTGTAGTTAGCTCTAATAAGGCCACAGTGTTTCACTGAGACAAGGAAATGCTGGTGCTAGACAATGACACCATGAACATAAATGATCTGTTTAATACTCAGAATGCAGAAGTTCTAGAAAATCAGTATGTTGCAAAAATGTTTGCACAAATGTATATCACTGAATATGTGGCTCTTTGATAGTTCTTTACAGTTCCTTGCTGTGTAATTGGAACTGCTAATACACCAACCCTTACAACCTAATGGAACGTGCATCTGGTGATAAATCAGGGCTGGACAAAATATGGTCAATGGGCTGGTTCTGGCTATTCTATCTGGCCCATGGGGTCCCTAAAAAAAATTTGAAAATGAATATTTATCTGCCCTGGCTGCCTGTCAAAGATGACAAGGCATCAGGGTCAATTGGACCCAGCAACCGCAGCGAGGCTGGCCCTGACCCACACCCAGATGGAAGCCTCTGCCTAACAGAGGCTTCTGGCCTGGGACCCTGGGGCTGTTCCTGCCTCTCTTTGTGGGAGAGGGAAACTCAGATAAGAACAGGGGGAGGGGAGGCAGAGGAGGACCCCAGGCAATTGCCCCAGTCCCCACAGCTGCGCCAGCTCCTGTGGTTCTGGCGCTGCAGCTGGAAACCACATGGGGCTGGAGCACATGTGGGGGGGGGGCGGGGAGAATGGTGGCAGGCAGGGAAGGGGAGAAATGGCAGCGGCAGGTGGTGGGGGAGTGATAGTGAGCAGGTGCGTGGGGCCCATGCTGGTGTCCCAGGACCAGCACCAGCGGGGGCCCAGAGCGGGGCAGCAGGAGCGCGGGGCCCAGGCTGGCAGGGTCTCTATGGAGCTGGACTGGGCTGAGCCAGCAGGGAGACAAGGGAGATGGCTTGACTCCCTAGCCCCTGGAGGCCTGGGCCCTGAGCTCCTGCTGCCCCACTCTGGGCCCTGCCGGCACTGGCCCCAGGACACTGGCATGGGCCCCATGCTCCTGTCTACCCTAGGCCCTGCAGAAGGCGCTGTGGCCTCTCTGCCCGGCTATGGGGGCCACGTGCCAGTGTCCCTGCTCGGTGCCACTCCCCCGCTGCCTGCGACTGCCATTTCCCTGCTTCCCTGCCTGCTGCCATTCTCCACACCCCCTACCTACCGTTCGGGCACCATGTGGTTTCTGGCTGCAGCGCTGGGTCACAGGACTCAGAAGGAGCCAGTAGATGGGAGGGGGAAGTGGCAGTGAGTGGGAGCATGGGGCCTGTGCTGGTGCCAGGAGCGGCAGGAGTGTGGAGCCCAGGTTTGGAGAAGCACTGGTGGGAGGTCTGCCTGCTGTGAGGGGGGGTGTGGAGAAACTTTTCCCCTCCCCACATGCCACAACCCTCCCCAGCCACCCTCCTTACAGCCGCCCACAAACCCCATACTCACCCACACCCCATATCCACACACACTCACATGCTCCCCCACCCCGGATATACACACCCTCCCCACACCTCCCCACCTATCTATCCCCCCATAAACCCCCCATACACACCCAGACCCTCCCTCACACCCCACGTACCCACAGCCCTCAACAAACCTATACCCACCCCTGTACTGCCCCATATTATACAAGAGTAAGACATCATTTTAAGCTATTATACAATCACCTCTATGTACACTACACAAACACATGTAAATCAGGACAAAAATATTTTTTGAAATTAAATTAATGAATGTTGTAATACAGGGGTTCTCAATCCCCGGGCTGCAAACTGGTGCCGGGCCATGGTAGGTCGGCTGCTGGTCTGCAGCACAGTCACCTGCCAGATCAGAAGTGGCCATGGACTGGCAAACCATGGCCCCCCACAGCCAGGTGGAGAGGCCACGGCTTCTTCTCCAGGGTCCATGGCAGTGCAGGGTTTGGCCCACCCTCCTGCCCAGGGCATAGGGGTAACCTTACCTGTCTTCTAGCTGTAAATTCCAGCCGTGGTCAGCTGTGACTTCTGGACCACAGTTTGCCAGGCCGTGGCCACTTCTGGGTTGTGGTTTGCTGGGCTGTGGCATAAAAATTTTGGGAACCCCTGTTGTAGTACATGATTGGTTTTTTGGAATGTAATTTGGTATTTTTTTGGTTCCGAGATGGCAAACCTCCTTGCTGAAAGGAGTACTTCTGGGGTGAAAAAAGAGAGCCTTCTGGTGGCAAAGGTCAGGGGCTAGAGGGTGGGACTTCTGAACCCAAGATGGTGACCAGGGTGCAGGGCTAGTGCCGAGGGGTGGGGTTACTCTTACGGCCCTTGACAGTTTGCCAAAACTCAGTAAGCGGCCCTTTGCCTGAAATAATTGCCCACCCCTGTGATAAACTAATTAATGCTCATCCCTGCACAATACAGTCTGTAAGCATTAGTCAGCAATTTGAGAAATTGAGGCACAGTGGGATGATGTGCCTGTCCTTGAGGCCACTCAGTGAGATTGGGGTGGAGCCAGCATTAGAAAAAGCTGCTAATACTCATGCCAGCTACCAAACAATGAGCCCTGCACTCATTATGAATGGCTGGGCTCCAGGATATATTTTAGAGTCCCCTGTTAAGAACACACAAAGAAGAACCTTTAGGAAAAGAAAGTTATTAAGGTACCAAAGTCAAGCACTAATATTTGAGGGATGCCAGAATTAAAGTGGGCTGTCCAGCCTTAGTTCAGCTCCTTGTACGTGCACAGTCCGAGATGGTCTTTAATTATACAGCCATGTGCCAGTCCATGGGAACCCTGCCTCGGAAAGGACTGTGCTCACTAAGCAGGCAGCTATTCAATATTTTGCTTCCTCCTTGCTGAGTGTGGGCTCCATGCTGTATTTATTGCATATTGCTCTGAAAACAGAAAAATTCATTTTGTCATGGGATTTTTTTATGGTGGTCATCTGCCTTTACAAGCATTGAGCAAACTTTGCAATACCTGTTAGATGAAGGGGGCATCATTGTTATCTCCTTTTTATACAGGTGGTGTACTGAGATGCAAAGACACTAAGGTCAAAAGTAAGCACTTAATTTTGAGTGCCTGATTTGAGACACATATGATATAATGTTCAGCAAACTTAGCATTATGTGTGTATGCATGCCCATACAGCACAGTTTCCACCCCTGACTTCAACTGCAGTTGTAAGCACTCATTATTTCTGCAAAGTAGACCAAAGGGTCTCCAGCTGAGCACCCAGAAGGTAAGAACACACGATGAGACTTCCTTTGCTCAACTGATTAAAAATTTGGCAGTAACAGAAACCAGCATCTTATTGTGGTCGTCCTCAGCCCTAATAATAGGTGATATTACCAGCTCCACCTGTGATATCTACTGAGTTGACAGCGATCCTGTGTGTATTGAGTGGATAGTTACGGTGCACTCTGAAAAGTGCTAAGTGTTGATGTTGTTCAGAACCATGCTGTCTTTCTATTTAATACGGCACTCATAAAAGCGTTTTATCAAGGACATGGAAGAGTTCACAGAATGTGTCTCGGTTGCCCCTTCTACAGCAGAGGGACAATTGCACCAGTCAGTGCCATCTGTGATATTTTCCTTGTCTATCTCTTGATTTACAGCTTTCCATCTCTGTGTTGCCTGTTACAGCTGCGATCCTGCAATTAGCAGTGAGGGGACTGGACAGTGCATGAGTGTAAACAGGGGAGAATTGTACGGTACAATTCTGGGCAATTTTCTGGACATAGTGAAGTGACATGAGAGGCAGAGAGTAGCTGGACTGTGGAAACTTCTGAGATAAAACATGCATCTGAAGGGTTATTTCCCTAAGACGTGGAAACAGTTACAAGCTACTTGAAATGGGCTGCTCTCCATTGTGCTGGCTTGGATAGAGCTTTGTTAGTGACAGGAACAATGGGAGAAGTGAAGCAGAGCAGCCATGAGGGCTCCTACTTACCTCTTGAGCTCAGTTCAGAGCAGGACTAGACTGTGTGGTAGCTAAGCCCCTGGTAGCCGAACGATGCTTGCCCGAGCTTCATTGCTGCCCTCAGTACGGTAAAATCTTTGAAACAAATGGGCTGTCCAAATGGCAGGTATTTTCTGTGTTTATTTTCTCTGAACACTTTTAAAAATGTGAATGCGGTGTTAGATTGGACACAGTGTGGGTAGCAGGAATGCAAGGTTCTTGCACACTGCCCTGCCAGTGTGCCTTGACTCTGTCTAGGGATAAGATGATACTGGAAGGCCTTTTTTATCATGTCTATTCAAAACTTGCTGAGGTTGTTAACAAGGCTCCAAACTGCAGCCGTAGGATTGTGATGCGAACACCTTTCTAGCAGGAACTGGGCAAAGTTCACCAAGCTCGTTTCATGTAAGTCTCTGAACAGTCATTGCTTGGTAATAACGTTCCATTATTACAGACTGGGGCTGCATCTGAACTTGTGATGTATAGGTAAAAAGCTTCTGTCTCCATTAATAATCCCTGAGCTATTTGGCAATGCGTGTGTGTGCAGGAGTGAGGGAGCTTATTAAATCTTAGGAAAGAATAAAAGCTATAGAGAGAATGCAAGATGATGTGTGGATCTTTATTAGCATGGATTTGGATGACTACATTAATCACCAACAGTATAGCCATGTAGAGAGGCACGTGCTAGAACTTTCACTATGAAATATGAGAAAATTAACAAAACTAGAGTGTAATATTCATTGTGAGGATATTTTCTGTCTCCATTCCAGACTTCACTTTCTCAAATGAATGCTGTTTTCCCATTTTCGGAAACCTCCATAAACTTCTTAGGGCATGTTTAGATGTGCATTTGAAACGATTCAAATCCTGCAGGAATTTGTAGCACTTCAAAAACAGAATTATTCAGTATTGCTCAGATTCTGTATCACTAGGCACATCTACACAAAATGCTTTACTGTGGACCTGACAAATTAGCTCCACAGTAAATCATCACTGTCTACAATGTGCAGTGCTGTTAGGCCAGAGTAGATTAATTAACTCCAACATAGGTAATACTGCACGACACAAGTACTGTAGCCCTACCCTCCAGTGTATCTACTTCTGCCCCCAGCTTGGTATCATGTGCACACTTGCTGAGGGTGCGCTCTGTGCCATCATCTAGGTTGTTTATGAAGATATTGAACAAAACCGGCTCCAGGACTGACCCCTGGGTCACTCTCCTTCATACCAGCTGCCAATGAGCCACTGATTACTGCCCTTTGAACATGATGATCCAGCCAGTGATTTCCAATGCTATATGGTCTGTGCAGCTTCTTTTGTCTCCTTAGTCTTCTCTGTGGTCTGCTCAACTAATCTCGTAGCACACTGTCTCCACCACCTAACAGCCATACCCATACGTTTGCTACTATTGTTACTGTTCTTCAGCTGTACCAGGACTCTGCAGATTCCTGTCCAAGTCCCCCCATTTCTTTCCTGAAACCTGTACAGACTGCCTTTCTCTATGACCCCGTGTGTCTATACATCATTAACCTTTGGGGAAATTTGGAGAGAGGAAAGGAGGGGATTAGCTAACTCAGAGGATTCTGCCATTACGGGCTGTGACCCTCTAAGAGGGTAGTTCACCACTTACCAAATCCGGGTTCAGTACTCAGACCAGTGTTTTTCAATGTGTTCATCAACAGTTTGGATTTGGGTATTAAAAGCGAACTAGCAAAGTTCACTGATGACACCGAACTGTGGGGGAGTGTGGTCACACTTGAAGACAGGCTGGCAATACAGGCTGAACTGGCCAGGCTCATGACGCGGGTGCACCTCAACCTGATGTTTTTTAATACAGAGCACTGTCCCGTGCTCCATCTGGAGAGATTTAATCCACAACACACTTAAAGGCTCAGCAGTGCTACATTTGCTAGCACCACATTTAAACAAGACCTGGGTGTCGTGATAGGCAACAAAATGAACTTGAGCCACCAATGCAATGCCATAGCCGGCAGAACTAATTAAACAGTGGCATGCATCTAATAAGCCATCTCAAGCAAGACTAAGGATGTCATCTTCCCTCTCTACTCGGCCTTGGTGAGACCACAGCTGGAGTTCTGCGTCCAGTTCTGGGCACCACACTTCAGGAAGCAAGTGGACAAGGGGGGCCACGCACATGATTAGAGGCCTAGAAACAAGGTCATATGAGGAAAGGCTGAGGGACTTGAGCCTGGAGAAGAGAAGACTCAGAGAGGACTTGGTGGCAGACTATAAGTATATTAGGGGCATACATCAGGGGCTGGGGGAGCATTTGTTCACCAAGGCTCACCAGGGGAGGACAAGAAATAATGGGCACAGGCTGATTGAGGATTGCTTCAGGCTAGATATAAGGAAAAACTTGTTTACAAGTCAAGAACAGGCTCCCCCCAGAGGTGGTATAGTCACCCACCCTGGTGATCTTCAAAAAGTGTCTTGATGCCCATCTTGCTGGGGTCATCTGATTCCAGAGGTGTTTCCTACCCAGGTGCGGGGGGGCTGGACCCAATGATCTGTGAGGTCCCAGCCCTTAACAACTATGAAATTATCCTATGGTGGAGTTATATACTCCACTACGATACACATGTAGACAGTGATGGGGCTGGCTGGGGCATGAGGGTGCTACAGTGTGGAGGCTGCGTGATGGCTAGACCCACAGTGTAGCACCCTTGTGCCCCAGCCAGTCCCTCCACAGCACATTGAGTTAAGTTGGAGCAGTCCCAGGATGGCAGGCTGACCCCTGGGGCCCCGTGCCAGGGCTCAATGTGCTATAGCCCTGGATGCATGTGCAAAAGTTGTTCCCAGGAGCAATAAACTCCAGCGCAAGTTGCTTCACATTAATAACGTGTAGAAGCACCTATTCAGATGTGCAGCTGTTCCCCTGCCCTGTGCCCTCATTTGGATCACTTCAAAATGCTTCTGCCCTCTCATGCTCCACTGTGTACCACTGAGAAAGGAGCCTGGAGTCAGCTGGGTATGCTAGAGAGGGGAGGAAAGGGGGCATAATGCTTCAGGAGGACCTTTGAAAAGGAAGCACTTAGGTAATCCCCTCCTGCTCCCCAACACTTTTCAGGTTGTTCCATTTTGAGACTTGGAAATGTGGGCACCCTAAGCCACCTATTTGTAGACAGAAAAAAAGTACAGCATCTCATTAGGGCTATGTCAGTTTACAGCAACTAAGGGATCAGAATAATCCTGTCAGTTAAGGGTAAAGCCATTTACTTGGAAAGTCGAGGCGGAAATAAAGACAAAAGCAGGGGTTTATCATACTTGGGTTTTCCTGGGCAAGATGCTGATTGTGAAAGGTGCAGTGGAAAATCTAGAGGAGATGGCTTCTTATTTGGACTTCTGTCAAGCAAGGAGGACTCCTGGTCTCTGCCTAATGGATCATGGGGCCTTGTTGAATGCTCAGGAAAGTTTATGATGGGAGGCAGGAGGGAATCTTGCTCATTTAAGACTGGAATGCGATGGACAGATCCTGGTATGGGGGAGAAAACATGTTCTTTTGAGTGCCTCTCCTTGGCATGAGGAGGGACCTCCAGGGGCAGATGAAGTGATGTGTCATGTGGTGGAGGAGGAAAATAGGGACCTACAGGAGGGGGAGTCACTTCACCTGGAGCTGGTGGAAGTGCATGTGGTCCATGGGAAGGTAGTGGAGGAGGTAGTCCTCTGGAGCTGTGTTGGTGATGCCCTTCTTCTTCAGGGGAATTGTGATGAAGCTCAGGTCCTTCTGAGTGGATCTGACTACCATCTGGAGGTGGTGGGGATCTAGGTCGGCATACATGTCTGTGATGATGTCCATGGCCAGAATGATGGTGTTTATGATGACGTCTCTGTGATGGACCTGCAGGGGGATGTCTGCATCCAGGTCCTTCTTCAGAGGAATTGTGGTGAAGCTCAGGTCCTTCTGAGTGAATCTGACTACCACCTGGAGGTGGCGGGCATCTAGGTTGGTGTACTTGTCTGTGATGATGTCCATGGCCAGAATGATGGTGTTTATGATGACGTCTCTGTGATGGACCTGCAGGGGGATGTCTGCATCCAGGCCTGTAGAAGTGGCAGTGGTGGTGGAGGAAGAGGTGTCTGCCAGGCTTTTCATAACCAAACCAAACCAAGGTAAAGAGCAGTTATCAAGGTTTTCATGCAACATAGTGAATAAATAGGTGCAGGTGAGGGGAGGGGGAGAGAGAGAGAGAAAGAGAGAGAGGGAAGGAGTAGAATTATTTACAAGGCTTTCTTTTGCAGTTTTAGTAACAGTAATTTCTTAGAAATTGGACAAGAAAAGAGGGGCAGGAACATATGTTGCTGCGTGACCAATCCACATTACCCAAACAAGAAACCAATGAAATGAAACAAAT